CAACATTGACGGTTCGAAATCGCCTGTTCCTTCATTGATGCTGGCGTCAGAACTCCTCTTGACGTACTTTTTTGGCAGCGATCCAAAATGGCGGCCACTTCCTCCCGCTGTCATTACACTCCCGTCCAACGTGTAGCCGCGATTAAGCTTATTCCTGCAGATCGCATTAATTGGCCCGGTGCTTCTTTCCCTCGGTTTTTTAATTACGCCAATCCTTTGCCCCAGTCTTCCGGGCGGAGCTCGAAAAGGATTCCCAGGAAATTCTAATCCGGCTTTAATGCGCCGGATTTCCCTCTTTCCGGATATTCTATTTTCCTTTAAAAAACCTCTAGGGGAGTGATTCTCGAAAATAGGAGATTTTTGGAGACGACGAGTCGTACTTGAGCGTCCATTGTTCACTTCTAATGTGTACGTTGTTGGGCATTCCGGAAGCCAATTTTCACCTGAAAGTAGTTTCGAGTTATCGAAAGCCCCCACTCGTCTACGGAAACTCAGCTCGAGAGATCTGGCAAGAGCTTGCAGCTAAATTAACCTGTATGGATGGGAGTGCTCGAGAGTGCGTTCATACGAGCCGCATTTACACGTTTATTAGGACGTGGTGGGTTGGTACGCCTGTAATTACCCGGGATACATCTAGGGGATTTATGTGCACGAATTCCCCAGTTAGCGCCGATTGGCACGGACGACTGTAAAAATAAACGGGACCCGCGGTCGTCGCTATTTATAATGAAAATATTTTTGCGACGACGGCCAACGTCTCTATCGACGGATATATCTTGGCTCGCATCCGCCGGGCCGGACCATCGATCTTCCGAATTTTATTATTTTGCAAAATCGAATCCCCCCCTCCGAAGGTCCTGGGAACCTCGATCCGCGCCAAATGACTTCATTAAGTGCACTAAAATGGGACGTTTTCGATCCTAATTCGATCCTAAATTTGTACAACAACGCCATCGGAGATATTAAACGGCAACAGTTGATATGGCTCGCCCTGTATATGGGGGCTAATCGAGGGCCGTATATACGGGCGAGTTCCACTTTCCGTTCGACCGATCGCGCCCAGCCAATGAGAGGCGCGTTTCTTTTGGAGCGGACGCTGGATTCTCGCCCGGTAATGGGAGAAGAAATCCAGCAGGTTTTCCGGAACTCCGGGGAGAGGTGAGTTCGATCTGTCTTCGTCGTTTATTCCCTGACCTATTTACGGATATATAGGACAGGGGGTTCAGCAACCCGCGGTCTCACCTCCCCGGACGCTATCTACACGGTGTCCTGGATGAAATGGACGTGGCCGCTTTCCGGGGGGAAATTTAATCAGCGTCCATATCGGGCTCCGATAAGTTTTCTCGAATCCTGATCAAGCGGTAACTAATGGGATTGGCATCGACCGAATTGCGTGATTTAAAGAGAAATCACCGCTTACGGGATTACGCGACTTACCGATATTCATTTTCAAGGAATTGTTATAGAAATTCACTTCGTATTTATTGCTGTTATTTTATAAAGCTGAGGACCTTTCGTTGTTTATCAATATCGAGGGCATATTCCGTATTTTATATTTCCTGTATCCCCGAAATGGGACGCATATAAAGTTAGCGCGAAGACAAAATGGCGGCCGACTAATTGTATTTGCCGTTTAACGACCTCCCTCTAGGAATGAAAATTCACGAGGGGATTTGTCGGGGTAATTTCAAGTCCCAAGTGCTGCCTCCGGAGAAGGTAATGAAATTCGAGATACGGAATACACGGTCCTTCCGAGATAGCAATGGGAAGGTCGATTGAAATCCTCACCCGCGAGGATTTAGTAAAACCTGGAACCGTTGAAAATTTTGTTCCGAGTTTATCAACGCGTTACTTACAATTAGGATTCCGCTTAACGTTGGCTTCATTCTGGACTCACTCGAGAGGCTGTGATTCACGTTTACGAAACACGTGTCAGACATCGAAACGTGCGATGCACGTAAATACGGGAGTTCACACGTAACGCGTGACGACGGAAACGGTCCACGGAAAATGGCGGACGCATGCCAGGTTAGCGGGAGAGATTTGGCAAACTCTTCCCATGATGAATGACGTATGAATTTTATGAATATTTTTAATATCATAGGGGTCAAAAAACGATTTTTCAAATACTGCGGGGCGGTTCGTCGGTCTTTTTCATTCGGACGATCAATGGGGTGCTTGTCCATATCGGAAGTCGGCAACCTCTCGCGTTGATTAGTTTTTCAATATGGCGACGCGGTCGGACGCTCCCCTAGGTACAGGAACGTCCAATGGTTTTTCATCTATATCGCACATGGTCAATCCCACCCCTCGATGTTTCAATATGGCCATCGCTTCGTTTCCTCTCGTGTCGGAATAGCCAGGGTTGAATTGTCTCCGTCGAAAGCTTGAGTTCACGCTAAAGCAACTTCGATGAGCTTACCAGTACAACAATGGTTCGTTGGTCGCCACTCTTTGAAGGGAATATTTTTAAATCGAAAATTTCGGCGTCTCCAATGACCCGGGAGAGAGCAGAAGAGGAAGGGAGGAGTTAAACGGAGAGAGTGGGCGCTTCTTCGGGGATTTCGTTCCCCGGATGAGACGTGAGGGACGAATTCTGTAAATGGACGGGATCGGAGGACCGCGCGGAATATCCTTATTTGGATGTTTAACCTGGAGCACGGTGCCGCGATGCGTCTGTCCAGGGAGAGTAGGTCGTTTCCATGGCGACGGGTGCATCGGACCCCCCTGAGCCGAGCCACGTATTGCTAAACTGAACGCACCCCTCGAGGGACAATCCCGGATCCTCTGCGGAAACCTCTACCCCTTGTGCGCCCCCTTTGAACCGGAGGTTCAAATCGTACCCCATTTTCGCGGGAAATTCGAATTTTAAGACGATGCCACACTGGCGTCGCAGAAGTCCCGTTTACGAAGCTTTTCTTCTAACTGGCACTACCGAATCGTGTCGGGACCTGGTTCAGGTCGTACGGGACACCCTGTATAATTCCAGGGGATTCGGGGGTGCACGACCTAGTTACGCCCGGGTGTGTTATATGGGTCATAGACACCATCCGCGAGGACGCACACGTGCACGCGTAATCGCGCGCGTGCGCGATCACTCACGCCCACGTAGGCGAGCCCCACGGAGTATACGGTGTGCGCGCATTGTTATGGCAGCGTGTCATTGTTCCGCCAATGAATAGCCTTTGGGTTAATTCGGCACGCGATACGTACTTCGGTGTACGCTCGAATTGCCCGTGCTTATTTAAGCCACTCGCGAGACCCACGGTATTTCGCCGCTGGTAAACATTGAAGTAACTCGTCGGCCTCTTTCAGAGATTAGGGACATTGCTCTCGACAATTTTTTCAAACCGCTGACACCTGCTGAATTGTTACGATTCCTCTCCGGCAATGAAAATATCCCAGATCGGAGTGCAGATATTGACGTGGATTTCGCAAACCTCTCTCTTTCGAGTGGCTTCAAGCTACCCTAAAACAATTTTACATTCAGGGTGGGGTGGGCGAAGTTTGCCGGAGAGAAATTCAGGGAAATCTAGTGGAAAATCAGTTCTCGGGGAAAGGATGGAAACGGATACCCTGCGATCGTTCTGGGGAGTCATTTGGAGAATCCTTCGTATACATTTTCCCGGAGAGGGATCGACTGGTCCATTTTATATCATTCAGCAGCATCTCCCTACACTTACATCTCTATGCTTATTTTTACACCCCGTGTCAAAAAAAAAGAAAAACGCATTATAAACTCGCGGGGAAAATCACAATTGAAGTTATGGGGGTACTCGAATGCCAGGGATTTATCTTCTCATTTCCGGTCACATTGCTCGAACTTGAATTTCTGGGGATATAAAAACACTGGGGACACCCGATATCGTGTGACATCGCCGACCGCTTTGGGCGCATGCGCGGGCGGACGGCGGCGCTCGGTGCTACGCGGGGTCTCGTCAGTCTCTCTAGTGAGCGGCGAGCTCGCGGGTTGTACGGGTCGTGCGGGTCGGGTCGCGCGTTCGCCAGTCGAGTTCCTTTTTCTATGGTCCTCGCCGGAGTTGGGACGGTCCGTCGGAGCCCCTTCGATTTCCCCGCTAGACAAGGAGGCGGCAATCGGGGGACGGCCCGCGGGAGAGAGATGAGCGTACGAGGGGCCGCGCGAAAGGGACGCCTCGCTCGGCCAATCGTTCCTCGGCATTCTTATCTCGCGGAGACGTTGACGCGCCGTTTTCGAACCTAACCTCACACGGAACGATGTACCTCGCGCGTTAGTCGGCTTCAAACAGTATGTGACGGCTCCATCGAAGCGGTGCGTTCCTTTAAGTGCTGAGAAGTTAACAGGTGAGTCTTGCCGACAGTTTCCGTCGTTCGGTATACCCAGTTAGGAGAAAAGTTTCATGAACGATTTACTCTTCCGGTGCCACTTTCGTACCCCCTTAACCAGTCAGCTGTTTTTGACAGGTTTGCAATGTTTGGAATCACCGAGGATAAAAGTGAAATGTTTGATGCAGCAATTTATTTGTGGAACCAACTCGAGAGATAAAGTCTTGCCGTTATCAATACCTATTATTGTGGTTTAATTGAAGTGCCTTTACTTGTATAAGTATATACAGATATGTATGTGACTCACTGAGTTTTACCCGATGCAATTCTTGCACTCGGCATTCCACGCTAAACCTTATCAACTGTGTAACTTACTTCGTTTTTATGCCTTGTTTAATGAGTTACGAGATGCGGCGTCACTTTGAGATTATTTATCGTGTACATCTTTGCAGTCGCAATTACTTCCTTATTTCTAGTACAATAACGATTTGGTACCAGTGTGAAGTGTGTGCATCATGTGTGTGTTTACTTGCAGAGCGTACCATGTTGGAAGACGGAGGAGTAACAACGGCACAACACCTAGTCTCAGCCTTACGAGCTGTACACCTTGAGAAAGACTGTCGTACTAACACTGCATCCTTTCGAATCCATCGGTCGCAGAGTTTCACTCAGTAACCCAATGATACGCTTAACATATGGCCCGCCTGGAAAGTAAGTCTTGCTTGTCATCATATGTTAACGATGCACCAGTTTCATTGAATTTTCTGTGGGTTTTTGACACTTATCGGAAGGTAGCAGATGCGTATTTCTGATACTTTCGATTCGTTCGGTTTGTTAATATATTACGTTTTCGTTTGTTCGCAGTGCGTTCAAGACTTCCATATTTTCCGGCGTTTACCATGTGCTGAATTGCGCATGGTACGTAACGACTCGATTTACCTATTTTAAACGACGAGGAATGACCACCTTTCGATTCATTGACTGTTATTAATTTGGCATAATTGAATTGTTTAATCGAACATCGTTTGTAACTCAACCGTAACAATAATTAAAAGTTTTTGGGTATCGATGGTATATAAATGATATTGGATATTCAGTGTTGCCTTCGATTCGGCATTGTAGGCGTTAATTAATATTATAATATACAAATTGTGTACAAATTACGTTCGTTTCAGTACCGAGCATAGTGGTGCACAAAGGCAGCAGGTCGCAGAGTCGACCTGAGAGTCCTACAGCGGTGTGTGGAGGTCTGGTCTCCCTGCCCTCCGGCAGGCACAGTCTCCTGGTTGGTCCAACCACCAGTGTCCCGTACTCGAGCCTGCACGAGTCGGACATGATAGACGGGAATGCTAACGCCACCGTCGTTACCACCCCTGCGTCGAATTCGTTACGCCGTCCCTCGCCCTCCTGCCCCAACGAAAAATCGGACACTGATAACAAACATTTTCGAAGTAGGGTAAGGCCTCATTCTTACCGTTTAGGTAATCTAGGAAATGAGTAGAGTATTTTTATGACAGTTCAAGTATGATTAATTTGTATTGTAAGTTGTAAAGTTAGGGTGTATGTATGTTTTAACGCCGAGGTCGGAAATAAGAGAAGGCTGTGAACGTTTTCAGGCAAGTACGAAGGTAAAACTGCTGGTCAGAAGTCATGCGATGAGAGAATCGGCATCTCCTCCACGCGAACCGCACCACAGCGGTCCATCTTCGCCGCACAGCCCTCCGTCCCTCGATGGCGAGAAGAAGTTCACCGGAGGACTCGCGGCGAACAACGGTGGCTCGAAGCAACTCAACAACAACGAGCCTACCTTCAACAGCAACATCTCCACTCAGTCCCCCAAACAGATGCGCAATTCAGCTACCTCGCCGACGTGTCGAGCTCCCTCACGAAATGGTAAAAATAAAGTTGACGAATCAATAATTAATTCCCACTTTATTAATTTTAATTAGAAAATTTGACTCATCCGGACTTAAGGGATGAAAGTGTATCAACGTATTGTTTCTTTTTTCTCTTTCCTCTTCAGGTCAGTCTAGTCCTTCTCAGGCCCATTCACCAAAGAGTACCACCTCGCCGACTACCGGCAATAAATCCGAAAGTCGAGGCTCGAAGACCAGCACAAACCTCGTCTCCAAGTGCAATAACTGCGCGAAGAACAATCAGGCCGACAAGTCCGGACTCCTTCAGACTCCGGTCTCACCGTCCAGGACCGGTCAGGCCCTGCAACACTCGCCGAAGAGTACCAGCCTTGCTCCGAACAATCATCCCAAGAACGAGCAACGGAACAGGCCGAACACCCTAAACGTTTGCAACAATCAATGCTCGGCGCAATGTGGGAACACCCTGGCTGTTGGTAGACCTGGCTCCAGGCACAAGCTTCGACACCAGAACTCTTCGCAGGGGAGCTTCGACAGCGCTTCGCCGTGTCTCTCCAGAGGTCCGTTCGATAACTGCCTTAATCAGATTATAATTAATTCTCTTTGTGTTTAAATTTATTTGTCATTATTTATTGTCCACAAACTAGATGTGAACATTAATTAACTTGTAGTATAAATTTAAAATGATCTGTAAATTTTATTGCTGATCGATTATTTTAGGTTTGGTGAGATGAAGACGAGAATAGTTAAAGCATTTTACTTAGAAAGGGATTGAAATCTATTTGGAGTAATTGAGAGTAATTTTAATTGTGCCATTAATTACAGATAACAGCACGGAACTGTACACCGACAGTACAGGAATCGACTTGGAGCAGTTCATAGCGGAGACCATAAATCGCAACCAGAAGGACCGGACTGTGCTCCTGAAGATCGAAAAGGACCTCATCGAGTTTGCCAAGGACAGGCAGAAGGTCTGCCACAAGTTTCCTAACATGTCTTCTTACAATCGGATGTTGGTTCATCGAGTGGCTGCTTACTTCGGCATGGAGCATAATGTCGATCAGTCCGGTCTTAGTGTCATCGTGACAAGGACGAAGAACATGCGAATACCCGACACGCGATTTAAGGAGCACATCAGGGACGACTTGATCTTGACCGAAGAGCCTCGGAGGAGCATTCTCAAGAGGGACTCCAGCTCCTTCGAAGACAGCTTTAACTTTAAATCCCCCGACAGGCTGTCTGGGGAGTATTGTCGGCGCAGTAAGAGTTTCGAGGAACGCGAGGAGGAGTACGAGAGAGCCAGGAGGAGGATATTCAAGGATAGCAGCGGAGAGAACAGCGGAGTCTCCTACTGGCCCTATTGGTCTTCCTCTGAGATCTCCGATACCTCAGCAAGGTATCGTTTACTACACCCATCGGACCACTCAATCAGGTAACTAAGTCTGTTAAACGACAAATATTAGAAATGACTCGTTAAAAAACATGGATTTTATTGATTCCACAGACAAACTAGGCTTTTCAAGGGAGAATCCTTCGACGGACGGGAAAGTCTTCGTGCTGGCATTCAGAGGCCTTCGGTCTCAAAGTCCTTCAGCTTCGGTGGTTACACTAGAGGCATGCTATCGAGGGGTGACAGCGTGACATCGACTCATAGTGCTGGTGCTCGCCTCACAAAGCAAGGTAGATTGCTTTACCTTGATTTAAATAGATATGACGAGCTCATCGATACACCTTATTTGACATCAAAGTTCATTAATAGGCAGATATTGTCTTTATGATATTATTGTAGAATATAAATGTGATGAAATAATTATTTTTTTAATAGATTCAGGTGCTAGCATGTGTTCTCGGCTGAGTCCTTCGAGCAGTGGGTACAAGTCTCAGAGCCAACGAAGCGATGCCACGATCTCACCATCACCATCACCGTCACCAGTGGCAGCGATGAGCTGCAACCACTCTCAGCTTTCTAGTCAAGATCTGGCCTCTCCGGAGCCAAATGGCCAAACGGTTATGTGGGCAGTGACGAGCATCTCGAGCGTTCCTGCCGGCAGCATAATCATTAATCCCCAAACAAACCAGCCCTACACAAACCCGGATGGCTCGGTCTATCGATTCGATCCTGACAACCCACCGAAGCTCTGTGTCGAGGAGCATGACTCTCCAACTCCACTTCCTCGACGTGGAGACCCCACGGATGGCTCCTCCAGGTATACCGTCGATCGTTTTAGACTATTAGTATTTTGAGCCGCTCATTTTAAGTTTAGTGCATAATATTAAAATATTTGATTTTTTTTATTTAATATTATGCACTGTAATGAATTTTTTGTTATATGTTATTAACAAATTTTGCTGTTCAGGCCCTCCGGCTGCTCACGTAGCGAAAGTAAGAGACGTTCCCAGGGAAAGAATCACGCATCGGCTGGGAATTCCACCCATGTGACGAATTCCTCGACCTCCCCAAGTCTACCGTTTACGCCGCCGCCTCCACCTCCGCCCCCGCCCCCGCCGCCCTCGTCGTCGCAAAACCAAGCAAACCAATCTCTAGTCAAGGACTCCCCAGCGCAGGCCCAGATCTGCAACAATGGCTCTCCGCAATCCACATATGCCAATTTCCCAGCAGCTACCTCAGATACTTATGGTCAGGGTGTATATCAACCCACTTTACCGCAACAGACTGTGATGATGCCCCCTCATCCTACTCAGGGACACTCCGCTGTCCAGAGCAATGGACAGGGTGACCTTGCGTTTAACCAGAGCTCGGTCTATGGGAACTATGCTGTGCCGGTGCAGCAGAGTCCAGTACCTCAGTCCGGAGTGAGTTCTCATGATCATGAGTTAATGGTTTTTTTTATTTATGTCATGATTGAAATTACTAACTAGAGTTAAAATTTTTGCAGAAATGCTTCCAGGATGTGCCAGACTTGTCCAGTTACTTCATGGGCATGAATGTCTATGATCAAAGAAGTGGCGGAGACACTCAGTCCACTCCGCCACATCCTTATCCGCAGCCCCCACCGTCTACAACTCAAGCTCTGCAGACTGTGCAGGCAGTTCCACCGAATTACTGGCAGCCTCCACCTAACCAAATAACTGTGAGTTAATAACATATTTGGTTGATAAATAAATATTTATGTATATTAGAAGGGTCCTTACTTTCCCTAGTTCATATCGTTAAAAATGTTTTTTAACACGATACTTATATTCTGACCATGAACAAAGGACTTATTCCAATTAAATTGCAATGGAATAATTTTTGTCGCAGCCTCAGCAGACAATGTACTTCGTACCACCTCCAGGAGCAGCTATGTCGGTTGGTCAGAATCCAGCGGAGAGACAACCATCGCACCAACAGCAGAGGTTTACGACGAGTTACTCCTTCAATCCGCAAACCATGACACCTCCGAGCCAATCGACCTGTAATTACCTCTTTGTTTAATTGTAAATGACCAACTTGAATATCGAAACTCCTTTCTGTCGCTATTTTCATTCAAGTAACGTACACTTTCTCGTTTTATTCCAGCTAATTACGTAAGCAGTTATCCAATACCGTATAATTCCATGCCAACTGTAACACCGGCACCAGGGGATTATTCTTATCAACCACCGGTTCACATGGTTCCTGCTTATTATCCACCCGGTCAACCCAGTATGCAACCTCCACCCGTTATGTACAGGGTTCCTACTCCACCGAACACTCCGACATCTAATCAGGTGAAATTGGAATGCTATCTGAATCCTCTTCTCTTTCAGAAAATTTATAACAGTTATATTTTAACGTGGTCCCCTTATGTTTTCAGATGCCTGGTATGCCACTGATGTACGTGAATTCTGGTAGCTATCCATCACCAGCCATGGTGTCCACCGGAACCTTCGGTCATCATCAGGTCGGTCCCAATGGTACCTCTCCTGCCCCGGCTGGAGCCTACATGAGTCCTGCATTGGTTCCCAACCTCGTCTTCAGGCAAAACGTTCCTGTGAGAAGCCAGTTTTTTCTTTAAATCCTTTCTATAAAAATGTTTTAAATTTTCTTATTTTCTAAGTGTCTCGATGAACGAAAGCATTAGACGCGACTGATTTTATTTAACGACGGATTCCAGGTTGTCGCTGGCGTTCGTGCCTCGACACCGGGTAACTCACAGAGAGCAAGCCGGTCACCAACACCGGCGCATGAACTCTTCGGTCCTGGGAGCGGGGATAGAAGCGCACAACAACAGCCACGTTATCCACTGCCAATGTATCAGGGTGTCCATATCGTGCAGGGTACGTTGAAAAGAGTAATCAGTTATTATGCAGACTGCCTGTTCTCTAATTCTAGGAGAAATGAGACTGATGCATCCCGGAGTACCAGGTAATCCTAGACTGCAGTATGCACCAGTTGCATCGCCACCAGTTGTTCAAGGTTGTCCTAGACCCTATCGACCACCATCTTACTCTTCGAACACCTCCGGTGGTGGAACTCCCACCTCGTTCGATGGGAGAAATCCGAAGATTCGGAAACCGAGGTATAATCGACTTTTATAAGTCAATAGAAAAGGGAGAGAAACAATGGCAATGAATATCTAAAACTTTAAACAATGCGTTTCTCCCTTTGGTGTTTGCATTTTAAGACAACCAATATTGTTATTTTTTTTTTTTATACCGTTTCATTAATCTCCAAAATTGTTTCTAAATTCCAGGTCCAAAGTAGCAACATTACCACCGAGCGGTGCCCGATCGAACCTCTATCAAACTCCTTCCATGCCTTCGCTCTCATCAGGTGCACCGAAAGATATCAGAGAAGGTTTGTTTCTGGAAGGACTTCCTGGTTGTTCGTTATTTTAAGCGATCCTTCGAGCCTCTTTATCCACCTTTTGATCCTCTGTTGTTCGTAACGTAGCCCTGCCTCTTTTTTGTGTTTTCTTTTCTGGTATCTCTTCTATTTGTGTCTCGTTTGTTTCTCCCTTGCTTAACGATGAGCGCCGTTTACTTTAATATCTGACACGTTATTGTATCTTCCTCAAAAGCGAAACCGGCAGAGGACGGTACGACATAAGGTACTTGTATTTTATTGGTTAAGTAGCTGGCTATCGAGGGCTGTCGATTTCGTAGGGCAGCTTCGTGTTGTGCTTGAGAAGTGTCTCAAACGTTTTTTTTTTTTATATATATATATCTTTAACATTTTCGTTGCTTCCCTCTGCTTAACGCTTTTATTTGTTTACGCTTAAATAGCAAGAGCTAAGCAAATGTGATTTATTTGTTCTCTTTTTTTAGGGACCGTGAAGGTGACAATCACCCATCGAAACCAGTTGGTACAATATTAATGATAAATCGTGAGAAGTGAAGAGAGGCAGGAGCCACCGCTGGTACAAAAGGAGAGGAAGAAGAAAAAAAAACATAGATAAATAAATGAAAGATAAGCGAGTTAAGAAGTGGAAAATCGAGTAATAAGATATACCAAAAGAAAGAAGCCCACAACCTAAGCTAATATACCGTAGGTATGGCTCGTAATTAACGTTAACGATACTCTTTATTATTTAAAAGAAATAAGGAAACGTTGAGGCACGCTATTGGTACCTAATATACGGTGACAAAGTGATGAGGGGGACGGCTGAAGATATTAAAAAAAACCTATCCTGGTTCTGTGTCTTTGAAAAGACAAGAGAAGACATCGGTGGAACAATTCTGACAAAGATTTTTTTTTTTTGGGGTTCAAAGCTCGAGAACGATCCTACAAACCTGAAATATTCGATGGGTGTGATGAAACAAGAATGTTAGATTTGTAATAATTTATTTCAGTGTAATTATCTGAATTTTATGTGGATTTTAATGAGAATAATCATGCTTCGAGTCTCAAACTTTCATCGATGGATCTGTATCGGAGGTCTAGTGGAATTAGTCAGAGCTTCGCTCTTCTATTCTGAGGTCGATAAATTTAGTAGCATTACATATCCTTACCATCTCTCTAAGCACTAAACTGAATCGAAACTCTGTAGTGGGAGCAATGAGTACATTGTGGAATTGTAATTAATTTAGTTTCGATCCACCTTGTGGTCAGTAGATGTAAATTATGATAGAGTTGACGTAAAGATATATCACTAAATCTCTAGCTGCTGAACAATAATACTTTAACTCTACATTTAGAGTGAAGCAATTTATTGCAAACTATAAATTTTTGAATACAATAACACGCTTTTTTCCTTCTGTAAATTCTATACTCTACATCCAGCCGATCAATTATTCGTTCGTTACGATCCAGGTTATCGGTACTCTATTCTCAATTCCAGATATATTTAACCGATCAAAGTCTGGGCCTCGAAGCATCTCTACCAGAGCAATGAATTTCCTCTCGCGACTCATAAAATCCAATAAGAGAGTAATTCGCATAAACTTTTAATAATTAATCAGTATATTTCAACAAAGTGGGATCGGTCTGGAAGCTTGACGAAGGCAGCTCAGAGAGGCAGCAATCGAAGGAGGCTCTCGCAGCCTCCTGTGAGATATATTCCTAGATCTAGGGGGGGAAAAAAAATAAGGGGAACTCAACCGAAGAGTATCAACAGAGACCGAAAGAAAAGGATAGGAAGAAAGAGAGTCAACCGACAGAATTTTAACTATTATAAAANTTAATGTGAGACTTAATTTTAAGAGAGTATACATTGAGGAAGAGTACACGGATTATCTATGCGGATCCTTGTTGCCCTCTTTGCACCCAACATCTCCCTCGGAGGCACGAGTGATCCGTTACAATAAACAATATACGAATTTTACGATATTTTACTGAGTACGTTTACAGAAGGCCGAAGGAAAGAGGGCGAGGAAAGGAGATAGGGGAAATTATATGTAAATAATGTGTGTCTTTCCATTCGGGTGTATCGCTTCTCTAAATTCTTCTCCGAACTGCTTCGCTACGTCACCTAAAATAGAACCGAAGAGAAACTCAGAACTTCGTCACTTTAATTATTGTTACTTGCTGTCTGTTTCTTTTTATTTGATTTCCAGAGACTATTTTGTAAAACTTTGGTTCTATCGGAGGGCAATTATAAGAAAGAAAGAAAACGGTCGAAACAGTGGATTTCGAGTCGTATTGTTTTTGCCACATAAATATTTATTATAGAATTTTATTTATTTTAAGCCGAGGTTGTTATTGTGATATGTTGCAATTGGAGGTAGAGTCTTGGATGAGAGAACAATGTATTTTATAGTGAGAGTTTCGAGTCACAGTAATTATATAGTAAATCGTTTATTTTATCGTTTTCTCTATTTTATTTTTAATTCGACTACAAGATGTTTCTCCGAAACGTTTTCGTGGTTTTTTCGTGCTTTCAGGGTATATCTCGAAGTTTTTATATGTTAAACGTAAGAAATACATAAACTTAAAAAATCAAAGAACTGTTATTCGGCAATTAAAACAGTATTACATGACATTTTAATTGTATTTCTTGTTGTCGTTAAAACAGTATATAAGAGTTTTCGTACCTTGTACTTTTTCGAAAATGAAATGTTTTACACCATTTGTAAATTATTTTTAAAAAAAAAGGGAAGACTGAAAAGGAGCATGGGGGATACTTTTAATTTGATTTAATTGTATGACATGTAATATTAAAATATATTGAAGTTTATTGTTTTGCGTTTTGTTCGTACTCGCGTTTTGAAAGGGAATAACGTTAGATTGAATATAATTTATAATTAAAGAATAGAATTAGCTATTAATACATTTTTTAAAGAGACGAAGCGAATAGTTCGGATCGAATGCCGGCCACGATCATATTTTTGCAAATTTCTTCTCTACCTCATCATTGAAATGCAAATAAGTATTTGCAATTGTTATTAAAAACATTAATAGCAGGCGCTTGTAATGTGAGAGTTGCAGGACTATAGGAAAATAAATTCTCCGAAAAAAAATATGCAGCAACAATTAATGAATAATCGTTCCTTAATAATTTTCACGCAACTCGCCCATTTTCATTTATGATTTTTTGATTAAGCTAGATTATTATTTATTTTATTCGAGGAGGAGAGTTTATCGTTCCACGATTAAAGTGGAGCGACGACGGGAGATTCTAAATACTAATGTAAATTATTAATTAGGGAAATTGTTTATTAGCTGCGAGAGAAACGAGTGTAAACGTATTCAGTATTCTAGTCCTTTATGTCTAGTTGAAGAAGTAGTCGGTCGGTGTATCACCATCACTGCTTAATTTTAAGCCACCGATTATCATCTGAAAATTTATGAAAAGCTTCAGTCTATCGAAAGAGGTCAGGAAAGCAGTGGTGGTAAGACAAGACCTCTGATAATTGTATTGAAAACAATTAAAATACAAGAAGTCTCCGTCTGTGAATGTACAGACTGATGCAGAAAGTTTAAGCTGTATGATGAGATTTATTGATGGATGATAACAATGAACTAAAGAAATGTAATGTTCAGATTATAGCGTAAGCTTTCTGTGTCAGTCTGTGTGACGATTAAATCAAGTCGAATCCATCCAGAAGCTTTGCTTACGGTGATTGTACTTAAGGACGTAGAGAGCGTGGAACCATCTCTTTGAAAAAGAATATACTCCGATTGATTGGAAGTTATTTGACAATGGTTGGGTTACGATACAATTTATTAAATTGTACATTAAATTGACACAGGAATTATATCGGTTAGGATCACTTTTTTTTTTTTCAATCGCTGGATGCTTTCACTGAAAAACGTCGAATATAACAATTATAAGAGCTTTTCAAAGAGATGGTCGATACAAAGTTAGTGTTTATCGTCCCTAACATCGTAGCGACATATAAAAGGTTAAAGTAAAGGAGTACCCAGTCCTCCGAAGGACAAAGCAGAATATTCTTTTCTTCGGTTTCTGTATAAAAACCACCCACACGATAAGAGTTTACACCGACGTTGTCTATTTTTTAGGTGAGCGATCGATGTGATTGTGTTACCTTTAAGTGATACGTACCAGTCGAGGGAGAATTATTTGCAGACCGGTGCTTCGACTGCGAAACTAAAATAAAGCACAAAGAGGAGACTGCGCAAGAAGCTCCAAGGATTAGAGGCGTACTCTACAAGGCATAATTAATAGTTTACGATTAATCTGTTTTAACCTTTTAAATAATTTTTTTTTAGTCTGTCTTTCGATGAATCGAGCCTTTGTGTCCATGGACCGATGACCCACCGGAAACTGAGTTTCAATCTGTGAACCTGCGAAGTGAGTGGATTACATTTTTATTTATAAAGTGCAGTCTGAAATAGACTATTCAAATTTGAATTAATGTAAGGAGACACTGCGATACAATTCTTTGATTTGCAATTACCAATGTTTAAATGAAATTTTTAGTAAGATTAACAATTAAAAGAGAATGGAAAGCAACATTGTCTGCTATTTTAGTCATTTCTGATAAGTTAAGACCGACAGGAAGATATCAAATGTTTCATACTGACGAAAAGTATCGCTCTATTTGTTAAAAATTTAACAATATACCGTTAATTGATCAGAGGGAAAAGGAGGGGGAGGAAACTTATTAATGCGGAGCAGTAATATGGAAACAAGGTTCATACACTGGTGACGTCATTAAAATATGAGTACCAGCTTACATAATACGGTATGAGTTTAATTCTTTTGTTTATCGAAACGCTCAATTACGGTTTTCATTTCAAATTAAGTAATCCGGTACGAGTGAGTTCCTTCCGAAAGGCTTTGGAGTGTATCGTAGAGCTCTTCGAAGGTCCTCTGAAGAGATGGAGAGACCATCGAAGAAGTGAGAAGTAAGTGAAACTGCCTTAACACAAGATCTGCAGTGGGTCCGATAGGTAATGATATCGAATACCATTAAAATTGAACTATGAACATCCTGAACTGAACGGTAGGAGAGAGGGAGAACAATGTGCACAACATCATAGAAGAGGGCGAAAGATTTGATAGAACCGGCGTCAGTCTAATTGTATCTCTTGTTATATTATATACNAATTATATATAATTCAATAAAAAAGAAACAAGCGTCCATGAGCCTTTAATAATTGGAACGTTCAGTTTCAGGTACACCAAAGGGCTCGAAAGAAAGTAGAAGTCCCTGTCGAAGAGTTACAAATGCATATTTGTTGGTAAAATTGTATTAAGGTGAGTCGGTGTGAGACTTCGCTGCGTTACGTATCCCTAATTTCAAGGTTTCTGGATAATGGGAACACAGCAATTGTTTTATTATTGTTTTATTGTAATATTAATAATCAAATGGATGATTAGCTAATGATGATCAGTGGTGAGACGCGCAAGACTTAACGCGTAGAAAAGTAAAACTTGTTCGACTGGGACCGCCTCGAGGACGAGCAATTCGCGAAGCGGACTCGTCGAGGAAGCTCGGCATCTCACGAGGTGGACGACTTTTAATCGTGGTCCGAAGATGCGGCGAAACGCCCGTGGAATCGCTGAACTTTACGAAGTTCTCTCGAGTTTTCGTCCTTTCGAGAGAAAGAGAGGAATTTAGTCGCGCCTGTGCACGAATCGGTGTCCACGAATCCACAGTAACTCGGAAATATATGTCGTTAATAGGCAATCATTGGATGGAACTAATTGTCATCTCTTCGCGATTTCAAATCGAAATATTTCACGAACCGTGGGTCGAAATTCGACACACGGTTCGTCGATATTGAAAGAAAAAAAAAAAACTGGAAAAACTGAGATACCAAAATGGCGCGTGGATCCGTCGACGCGGAGGTTCGGCGGGCACGACGCCGCAAATACTCGCTAACTATTGCTGCAACGCTTAAGAGCTAGTTATTAGGGTAGTTCGCATATTTACAAGATTTCGTTGTAGATCCTTCGGGCGAGGGTCCAGATCAACATTGCGGGACTGTCGGATCGCGTTTCCTCGGGATCGAGATTTAAAAAAAAAAAAAGAAAGAAAAAGTACTATACAGGCATTTTCGTCCCTAATGTCAGTATGAACCAACGCCACGCATCGTGAACGACGGACAGTGAGAAGTTTTGCCCGATGCGACGATTACTAAACCGTGGTAACACCCTGAAGATATTTCCCAGGGAGGATTGCCTATCGCAATTCTAAAAATCCCAATTATTGCACGCCCGTAAAATTTGGGGATTTCTCCCTAACATCCGCCCAGGGTGCCGCCACTTGTAAAACCCACTTTCAGGCCAGTTTTATGCGTGCCCACCTGATCGGAATCATATTTAAAATGTTACTATTATTAGTTTTCGACTAATCACTGGGTGAGATCGCTAGGACGTCCTTAAAATTCCTTTTTTTCTTTTTTTTTTAATTTCGGGAAAAAATCGGATCGCACAAAACTGACCTAAAGGTTTCCCTTTCGTCGACCATCTTCCTCTCTAGCGTATTAGCGCTTTATAAGTTATCGGTTACGGTGCTAGTTTTTTTTTTTCCTAGTAATTTTTATACGACTCTACCCACCACCTTGTTAGACCCAGCTACTCGATTTCTCGATTTTCTACAATCTAACGTCCTCGGCTGGTGGGATGTTGGCAGCCCTACATATTTAATTATGTCCCTAGATCTTCCAGAACATCCCCGAATTTTTTACAATTCTTTCCGGTATTTCATTAAATCCTCAGCTCGTTACATTCGGAATATAAGTACATACAACGGGAAAGAATTCTCATTGTGAAGTTTAGTAGGAGTACCAACATCGGTGCAGCACCAATTTCATTAAATTACATTTATTAACATTAATCGTGTAAGCGTTATCGGGTCTGATTATAGACTTGAGTAGGAGCCATTGAAACTTGCATTCTCGCGAGGTTCCTCATTATTAAAAATCTAATTAATTTTAAAATCGATACACTTGGAAGGGACGCTAGTAATCCCCAGATGCTGATTGAGCCTTCTAGGTAACTCTAGGGGAAATCACCGGTTTTGGACCATTTTTGTCCTGTTTTGCTTCTTCGCCTTTGCAACAAAGTCCATTCACACTGGCGGAAATGACGTCACGCGTAAATCCACCGAAGGCACACAAGTTCAACGATCGAAAAATATATCGTATATCGGGAAATAAAATAATTTCCCAAGCTTTCCTTATCGTGGAACTCCGTTCATGCACGCGGATTTGGCAATCTTGTCCGAAATGGACATTTTGTCCGTAACTAATCATTAATTGCAATTCACGAAGTTGCGCTATTAAAGATTAATCAAAAGCACTTAGTGACGAAGAAAGATTAGAAATTAGAAAAGGCTGCTCAATTTTACGATAAAGTGATATCAGTTCGGCATTGAATTATAATGTGTTTCTATATAATCGGTCGTTTCCATGAGTGGCCGTGAAATCGTCAGACCATTAAATGACAATGAATCGCGCGCGTTTCGATAAGGAATAATAACGCAACGACAGTACGAGAGTTGCTTATCACCGAAGTAATTTGATTTAGTCGAGAAGAGTCGTTTCGGTTGACTTAACCTTAAACCTAGGTATCTCGAGTTAATTAAGTTAAACCGAGGTAATTAAATCGCTCGGGGTGGACGGCACAGTTTCGTGCGTGCGTATTACGCGACGAGTAGCAGTTAGCTAGGACAGAGTATACCGGACTAGTATACAATAGATTTATATATATATATATATAATTAAAAAAAAAATGAGGCAACCCTAACAACTAAATCGATTAATAGCTTTGCACACTTAAGCGATAAGTTTCGTCTCTACTAAATTTTCAGCCCGCGGCTGTAGACGAAGCCGTGGGCTGTCGACTATTCGTTGTGCATTAATCGTCACTTTCTTTTTAACATCGCTCAACGTTTCGTTTAAAGTATAATACGAGGGCATTTCTAAGAGGCACCAGGACTCGGCAGTATCTTAGTCGGAAAATCCACGTTCGGCTTCGCAGCGCGCGCGAGAGAGGTCGCTTCGGTCCTGCGCGCGCAGCTAATCAACGCGAAGCGTCACCTCGCGACTTGAAACTCTCCCCGTGAAGTATTGGCACATGACAATGAAGTTCGGCTTATCGGAAACGGTTGCACAAGCGCGAACCATTCTGTAGATACCCTGAATGCTCGCTAGAATGATCGATTAGTCGGGTTATCGAGTTACTTTCGGAGCGCGGGATCACGGGGTCTGCTGTAAACTCGAGGTGAATTTTCCGGGCAGTAAAGGGCACGAGTTTTTTTTTTTTTCTCCACGAACTCAGAGGAGTGGCAACATTAAAAGAGTCTTTTAGCGCCTCGGGGGCCCCGAATCGCTCGGAAGTATTTGATAAGGAATTCCTAGGGGCAGGTTGGAAGTCTGGAAGTCGTTAGGGGTTTCACGGAACCGCGGGATAGGCGGATAAGGCAGATAGGAGGAAGGCTCTTGGCGATCCTTTTTTCTCCCCCTCCTTTTTCGGTGAACTCGGAACTTCGGAGGCGATTCGAGGAAATTCGAGGGAGTGTCTTTAACTGCTGTGGCTGTAGGCAGTGTTCGTATAGGGTCCGCTGTAAATTGACGAGCCTGTAGTCGAAACACTCTTGTGACGTCGTTTGGCCAGTAGTATCACAATTATCACCACCACCGCCAACATAAGGATCAGGCCCGCGATCGCGATCCCTATCGCGAAACTTTTCTGCGATATGCAAATGCTGTTGGGGTCGTCCATTGTCTAAAAGCATACAGTTCATTTCGTTAATTACCGCAGCAATGTTTAAAGAATTATAGTTTTAGGACATCTTGTGAATAGTTCCTCGAGTTTACCCTTTCCCTGAAGACGTCGTCGGCGTAGTCTGTCTTCGAGGTGACGTCGGAGGCTTCGTTGACGTAAAGTCCGCTGTAAACCTCTATGGTGGCAGGAGTTTCGCCGTCGAGGCCTTTGACGCCCTTCGGGTCGCCATTTCTGCCCGTCAGGTCTCTACGACGTCGCTGGACTTCGTTGCAACGTGGCGGCTATAAATTAAATAGAAAATTGTCGTTTCAGTACTCAGTTGTCAGTTACCTTCTTGAAGGTTCCTTCTGATTGGCTCTTTCCTACACTTTATACCAGCCATTTTTGCAGGCGACTCGGAGGGACATTGCCCTCGGCAAACGTCGAAGATACTTCCTCGGAACGTGAAGCGTTTTTTATAGAGAAGTCGAAATTAATCCAAAGTAGTTACCGTATAGTGCATGCTTTGATCCTGCGCCGTTTGTAGACAACTATGTAGTATTTATCTTTATAGAAAATATAGTCGCAACGATGACGGGATCTTTGCTAATTCGTTAAACTTCTCTTATCGATGCAGGAAGGAGTAAAAATGAAAATAACGAAACGCGGAAGTCGACCCCCAGGAGAGGTCTCGGAGATTGACCCCAGCTCGGGCTCGGGTTCGAACTCGAGGTTCCTGGTTCCCCGGGGATCAGGACGAGCCCACGGGCAGCTGCCGGTAGACCATAGTGAGCCTGGTTGAGTTCATTATGGGAATTACCGTGTTACTGCATCCGCCGCCATGTTTGACGCAGAGCCTGACGTTGCACTGGTAATAAACGCTGGCGGTGTATGGAAATTTGTGGGCCTGGAAATTTACCCTGGCCTCCGTCTTGTCCTGGCTGTACGTGAACTGCCCCATTATTTCCCCGTCCAGTGGGCACCTGGAAACGGCGGAGATCGTTTCAAATTATTCTCCGTCCCGACGTCTTGTTTGAAACAACGAAACCCTGATTTGCGCATAAATTAAAAATCATATCTCGTCATTAAATTCTTTATGATTTTAAGGGACGCGTGGTTGTGGAGCTTCTGCAAGGTAATTCATTGTTCACCCGTCCTGTATTTTTTATTCTTTCTTGCTATATCTGGCTAAATAAGAAATTTAGATATTACGAAGATTAGGATTCGAGGCTCGACGTACCCTTCGTCATTGATGAGGCGTTGCTCGCCCCATCCCAGTCCATCGCGGACCAGACAATCCGAGATCTTGAGGCCAAACATCTCCTGCTTGTCGATGCCGATGACCAAGGTCAACGGGTCGCCGATCTTCACGTTCTCCGCGACCTGATGCCGAGTAGGATCACCGTTGAAGATCTTCATGGTGCATCCCGGCATCGGAGCGGTCGCCTGAATCATCGACACGTTCATCGTTATCAAAGGTACGTTACGTTGTTACATCTGTTCTTTACGTTAATTCAGGGTACAATATTGGCATTGGAACTAACCCTTGATTTTTTTCTCTACCTATTTTAATTCTTGCAAGTTAAACGAAAACTGATAATAGGTTTTTTACCTGCAGGGGCATGGACTGCAACATGGCGACTTGGGTCTGATCGTTCGTTACGACTTTGTCTCGAGTCTGGTATCGACACCTCACGTGAAATCCTCTGCCTTGATTCGTCACCAGCTTCAGATGCGGCTGCACCACTATCGTATTAAAGTATTCGATTCCACCGTCGTCCTGGAACGAGAAAGAAGAAAGAGTGCGTTCTCTTTGAAGCAAGTTCGCCACGGAAATTTCTGGAAAGAATGACGAGCGAACAACAGTGGTTAGTATAATTTTTTTTCTTCATTCTTTGCGAGCCTCCTGTGAGCTCTTCGAAATTTCTTTCCCGCTTATGACGGGGGATGTTAATACATGTCTTATTTACTAGATGTAAATTGAAGTGATTTTAAAATTCTTTCAGCCATTTCTTTTCCCCGATATCGAGTAAGAGCGTAAATGGTTTCGCTCCTTCGGGGACAAACGTTTCTTCTGGACTTTCAACTGCAGCGTCCTTGCACCCTGGGAGCAAAAAGTGGATCTTCGCCTCTGCCGGCCAGGTGTTCTCTTCTCTCTTATCCGCAGGTATGCTTTTCTTTTTCTACCTACGACGCGCTTCGCGCTGATAAATCTCGTTAAAGGGATAAAGAGTCACGGCGTCCTCGAAAAGAAAAAAAGTCATAACGGGATCGAAGCATATTAAATAATTTAGATTTCAAATCGGTAGATACGACTGATATGTAAATTACTAGACAATCTACTAGGCCGCAGGAAATAACGGATAAAAACTAGTTAGAGCAAATTGTCGAGTAACGGGCAAAGAAAATTTACACACGGAAGCGTAATGTTCCCCCAGGCGTGATACGGACGGAAAGAAGAACCATCGAGTCGATCTCGTGTAATCGTAATTAAAGGGCACCGACTAGTCTTCCCAGGTTGTATATCGATGATAATCGTGAATTATTTTGAGAAGTAATCGTCGGATATTTTAAACCCTGGCCGAGGAGATTCTAGTAAATTGTTGAGGTATCGCCCAGAGAGCACGAGAAGTCTATAATTAGACGTGACGAATCGCGTTCCAATATGGCGAATTTTACCATTCTTTATTAGAAAGGAAGAACCGGCTCGGCCGATAAGTAGGAGGTTTCGAGGGGATGAGATCCCCATAAAATGATGACTGCTTTTCCATCGTGGGCGTAAAATGTAAAGGGGCATAAAATATAAAGTCAGCGATCCGGCCGCGGACCACGAGGCGATTCGCCGCAGATTGCGGCCATCTTTGCTGACGTTATATCGGGCAACGGCTCTTATCTTAAAACTAAAAGTGAGTATTTCTTACGATGCATCTCTGAATAATTGAACATATATTCGAGGGCATTTGACGTTCATCGACGATCGTGTGATAAATCTGACCGGACTGCAGAAAAGGAAGGGTATTTAAATGTAGTACCGAGAATATCGCATTATCCGGGGAACGGGAATTCCAATATGGCGGCCGGTTGACTCGTTGACGCAGACGAAGAGCCTGCTCGATCGGCAAGTAGGAGGCATCCGAGAGAAGAGACCCCCGTAAAGCGATGGCTGCTTTTCTATCGGTGGGCGTAAAATGTAAAGTCAGCAATCCGGCCGCGCATTGCAGGCCGATGCACCGCAGATTGCGGGTATCCTTGCTGAGGTCGAACGAGACTCGCTGAAGGTCGTTGCCTGCTGCCATCTACCGGGTGGCCGCGCCATCTTGCTCCCGCCGGTACCTCCCACGCGTATATGCGTTTATGCATTTTATTCTCCTTTTATTTCCAGGATGCCACCAGGATACCGTGCATCGCGATGACGTCACGCGTCCAGTTTGAAGAAGGAAGCCATTCCCGCGCTAAAATTGACGCACGCGCGTTTGGCCTCCCCTGGAAGATTCGCGAGAAGCCGTTTCCCAGGTAGACAAGGTGATGTAAAATTTGCATGAAATTTGCATCCTCAAATTATAACGTTGTATTTATATTTTATGAATTTGCGATGGCGTGGGCTTTGCGTAAGAGACGAGTTTAACGAAGAAAAATACCCAATACTAATTTCTTCTTTGCGAAGACGTTCCGTTACTCGAGTGTATTCTACATAACTGGACACGTGTCTAAGAGGCTGAGAAAAAGGAATACGTCCCGCTTAAAATTAGTTTCGGAATATTCACAAGTTTCTTGCGCTGGCTATAATTTATTCCTCGTTTTCATTTTGCATAGGAGAGACAAGTGTAAAGCCGTCGATGAGCAAACGCCAATTGCGAGGCGGGAATAAATCGTGATCGAGAAAAAGAGGTCCAAAAGAAGAAACCGAAGAAAAAGGAGATGCAGAAGATGATAGCGATGATTATAACGCGGGCACATTCGAGGGCCGATTATCGCACAACTGGCCGTGTGAAGTATGTCATAATTATTTCAGTCAAATAATTACTCTTTGAATGAACAAAATATTTAATTTTTCTCCGTGTAATAACTATTCATCCAGTTTCATGCGCAGGGTATCCGTTGTGATTAATTTTATTATTTCCAGAGGCATCGTTCTTCGAGGAGTGAAAGAACCAGCTGTAAAAAAAAAGTCGCAGTAAAATCCACAACGAAGAGAGGCAGAGCATGTCGAAGGGAAGAAGACGCGGTCGACGTCGAAGGCGTCGATCATCGCACAAATACACACGTGACAAGTGTGTAACGAAAAGCCGTACGTGTCAGGGCTCCAAGAATAATGGGAAATTACCCATTACCACCTCCTTCCCCGAGGATGACGCCATTATATCCCCTGCATTTTCCTTAGGGGCACGTCCGCCGCATCACGAACGCGGAAATCGAGTTCCCAAGGGTACAACGACGCTGTGAATCTTCAATGAAAAATCACAGCACGCGGCGTCGTTACAGGTCAGTCGTTATGCAATCATCAATTTATCCAATAAATACCTAAATAGGCGTATAAACTACAACACGGCGTATAATGGCCAGAAAAGTGGCTCGTCGCCTTTTCAACGAGATTCAAGGCTCGCTTTTAAAGGGCGCGCGCGCCGCCATCTTGGTTCCTCCTAACTTTTCGTCAATATCGTAAATAATTATCTAAAGCCCACTCGAATAATTACCTGGGCCCAAAATGTGATATATAAATGCGGAATAAGAGATATCATTCGAATAAGAGGTTTCGCTTTGGAAACTGTGGATTAAAAAAGGAGAAGTTTTAGGAAGACGTTACAAGTAACGGAAGACGCGTAACAAGATTTTTGTGTCAGATTTATCGCGCTCGTTAATCGTTTCCAGGAAGGAGTAGCTTTTAATCTCCGAGGCGGGAGATCCAGAGGAGCGATCCATCACCTAAGCTCCATTATCGGACATGATCGTGATTCCTTCGTAGGGGATCTGGTAGAGTAGCGATTCCATTCTCCGAGACTTCCTTCGAGGATCCCATTTATGTCGATAGGCGCGGAAGGACAGGTTATTGCAGCCAAAGATTTCCCAGTTTGACGTAGATGAAGTTTCCTGAATCGCCTCGTTGTTCATCCGAAGGTAAGTGGCTGAGGTTTGTTCGGGCTAAGAGGCCCGAAGAAGGCCTTAGATAGCCTAATGGTTTCAAAGGCTCTCTTCGGGGTACCTACGAGTCTCTCGTTAGGAGGAAGACGAGGACCTAATGACTTTCATATACCTCTTAGGGCACGCGTCTTCTGGGTTCTTCTGGTTCTGGGCTTGGAAGGGTGCCCATTACTCGGCTCACGTGGTCCACGGAGTTACCGAGTAACGCTAAATTGCCCTGCGAGAATCGACTTTGACGGATCACTTTAATTGAGCATCTTCGGACACTCTTCGAGCATCTTCAGGGATCGGCGGAGCCTTAGAGCCGCTCGTTCAGGGAATCCATTACCGCGTGTCGTCGAGTTCTTCGAGTTCCTATTGTCTAAGGACATGCGATGTCTAAAGACTCCTGGGGGAGTGGAGAAGACCGCCAGGATGACTCTTCGGCATCGGCTTGCATCGAATGGTACGTAAACGTAGTACTCCGGTACACGTGTTTACGACTTCGTGATCTTGGCCTCTTCGGGATTGGCCTACCTCCAAGACTGTCTATTCGCGTATAACGCGATACGTCTTTCCTTGTGTCCAGGCGGTGCGATCCTCGGGTTCGACGCCCGGTCACTTCAACGGGCCGCGCCACAGTGCCATCTCCCGGCAGCCGACGGAACGTATATAATCTTTTAAGATTCAGCCAAGAAAACGTATATAATCTTTTAAGATTCATTAAACAGTCCGGGGAAGACGAGCGGCAGCCAAATAAGAGATTTTCAAAATGGCAGCCATTCCTGTATTTAGCCATCTAACGTTTCTATTTGTCTTCTCGGCGGTATTTTCGTAGATGACGCGATTTATAGATGGGCAGCGAACAGTGCGTAATGCTCGTAAGCTCAGCTACCGATCATGTTTCCATCTTAACATAAATCTGGATTCATAAATAAGGAATTAAGACGCACGGCCATTCGTAGAGCCTGCGTTTTCTCCTCCCCAGCACGTGATTAATTAAATATATTCACGCTGTGTTTACGAATCCATCTTATCGCGCATTCGGATCTCTAGCCACGGAATTATGATATCCAAACAAGTGAGAAATACACGCCCCACCTGTAGGATTTGTTAAGTGTCTTAATATCATATTTATGAACCTAGATATGCACCGGAGGTTATGGCCGTGTTCACAGATGTCCCTTGAAGTTAAGAGGGCCTCATTATGCAGCAAACTGGAAACGTAAGGGTTCTTCAGGCCCCAAAGGACGCCTCTTAATACGAGCCTTATTAAACATGCCCATTCGGTTTCGGTACTAGAGAAATCGAATATATAAATGCATAAATTAAGGAACGGATGAAGACGTTCTAATAATCTGGGATAAACTGTGAAATTGATAATCCGTATCGTTTCAGATTGCCTGTTTCTGGTGGATGAAGAAAATGAATCTTCCAAAATCCAACATGGCGGCTCAAGACCGTGAATCGGTATACGTGTTCAATGCATGAAGATGGATGAAGATATTCGAACGGCGCGGAATAAAGTGTCTAGAGGTAATAACTTAAATCATTTCAGATTGTTCGTTTCCGTCGGAACTGGTCAATTAGAGGATGACCCATTCATTAATGCGAGTTAATACGGCTTCTAGGATCCAAGATGGCCGCTCAGGACCATCAATT